AAGGGAAGTTTGTGTATTAGGGAGATTGACGCCGTTAAATTTTGCTGATTGAAGATTAAGGGGGTGATGAGATAGAGGGGGTCATGTATCATATCTCTAGTGGGGTCAGACTTAATAAAGATCTTACTCATTATTAACATTTACAATTTAAAAATAAATAAATAAAACTCATCTCTATTTTCAAAATTAAGTTTTTTTTTGCTATTTTATAATAATTAAATTAATAATATAAAATGTTTTAAAAAATATAACAGATGGACCACAGCAATTTTTTATTTTTTGCGGGAAAGTTACGAAACTATTTTCTGGATTGTTTTTGTTGTATTTAAATTCTTATTTTATCATAATATAATAAATCGACTGATATTTTACTTCCATATTTATATAAAATTTTATTTTTTTTAATCAAACTTTTTAAATTTTTTAAAAACTTTTTAAAACTTAGAATTTTTAAATTAAAGTTTTTTACGTTATTGACTTTCATGACAAACTTTGCAACATAATATGCTCCATATAAAATATTAGATTCTGAAACAACTAATTTTTATACCTTTTTTTTAAATAGGAAAAAACACAACTTTAAATAATGACTTTTCTCAACTTTTATAACAATTTTGGAATTTTATTTTGCTGACTGAGAGTCAGCAAAATAAGTTAATTAATATATGCTGAAAGTTAGTAACTAACTCTCAGTATACATTAACTTTTAGTGTATGGTTCTACTTGTTATTCTCAAGAGAAGTTGGAGAAACATTACACCTATACAATAGAATTTTATTTTAAAATTCTAAATAATATTGTTTGCATTAAATTTTTATTTTGGCTGTATTCCACTCTTACATAGTAAATTTTTCTAAGTTTCCTTATTTGAAAATCCTTTTCTAGCTTGCTGGAAGACTGTGACATTATTTAGAAACAGTTTTCTAGACTTTTAATGGTACTAAATCTCTGTAAAATGTTGATATAAAAATAGATGGCCGCATGGTTGAGGCAGTTAAGTTGTCAGACTACCGCTATGGAATCTGGGCGATTTTGAAGAATCCCAGGAATTTTTAAAGGCAGAAATGTTGAACCCCGTCTCTTAACCCGATAGCTCCATTTTGGACCTGGCAAAATTTATGATGGATGAGATTATAAAAGCCCTCTTAGCGCCCTCAGGGCGGAAAGAAAAAAAAATAATACAATATATATTTATACATAGATAAAATTGTTATCTGATATAAAATTAACGTTCTAGGAGATTATATTATAACTAAAGTTTAGGAAAATACCAAATATTGACATTTTATAAATTAAAGATACGAACGTCCGTAAATGCTCTAATTAATTATGCCAGAGTGAATTATCACTCTGACATAATTAATTAGAGCATTTAAAAATCAACATTATCAACTTCTTATAGCTCTAATTATAAGATTTTTTATGTAATATGACAGTTGCATTTTAAATCACTTTGATTTCATATATAAAAAGCACAATTAAACATTGATGACATCAACATTTCAGTCCACCATTAGCCGAGTAGATGAACCACAGAACACTGACAGTTAGTCGCGGATTCGTGTATGACTAATGAACTGGCCGCTTGGAGTCTTCCAGGTTTTCTTCACGTTTCTAACACCTAAATAAAGTAGAGTTACCAGATACTTCAGGTTAAAATCCGGGACAAAAGAGTTCTTTCCAAGATATGGGACATTTCAATTCTGGGACATGCAATAGATGTGTATTTTTACTCAGCCAGTGACAGAAATAAATTTAAAAATGTAGAATAAGAAAAAGATATTTTATTTTAGGAAAAGATTTTAGAATAAAATCCTCCTGTCGCTGGCTGACAGTCGAAAAAATCTTTCGGAAAGCAACTTTAAAATAGGGGCCAATTTCGCATAGAAAGTCTTTCCAAGAGGCATTCCCCTTGACAGATCGCTCATGTGTTATGTTGCCATATCCCATCAAACTAAATGTTACCAAAAATCATTTCAGTTAAAACTAAATCTTTATTTCAAATATGCAAATGATTACTGTCTTATGTGAATGAAGATTTTGACTATAATTTTTTTAATACTCTATATAATGCACATATTAGCAACAACATTTAATCTATTAATGATATAATCTCAAACAAAAACGCAAATAATTATTATTTATTCATATTATCTCATTACTAAGTTAATCAGATCTTCATTAAAGCACTCGCATTTTTTTTATATCAATATATTCAAATATTCAATTTTCATATTATTTTAGAGTTAAAAATGATTTAGTAGTTAATTAAATAATTATACTGATTATTTTTAATTTATAATTACTGGTGTTAAGTTTAAATGTTACTCATCTTATTTAATCTCTTTTCATGATAACTGATATGATATTGATTTATTTATTTATAATATAAATAAACAGCATTATGAACTAAATTTGCTAATTTAAATAATGATTTTATTTAAATATATGAATATTAAAACATTCAAATAACATAAATGAAGATTTATTTAGTATTTAAAGAAATTTTTAATTATTTTTATATTATGAGGTAATAAAGATCTATAGAATAAGAAAATTTTCAAAAAATTATAAAACAATTTAATTGAAAAATTTCTTTTTTTTCATTGAAAATTAAAAAAATGAGGATTAATTCAATTTTATTGATTAGACGCATAAGGTGTGTCATCAGGATTTTCAAATTAGAATATTTTTAATTAAAATAATATTGAGTTTCCCTTAAGAAACAACCTTACAGTATTTCATAAATTACCGTAAAAAAACAATTAAAATTCCATACTGAAAAGAAGATAAATGAGCCAGTAATGTGGTTATGACTATTGAATAATAATTTATGCAATAAAGGTGTTAGACAAAACAAGAGTTGTTTTGGACTATTTAGTTTTTACAGGAAACTCAGTAAATTAAGCATAAGGATGCGGTTCCTGAATTAACTAAATGAAAATAATTTTATTTAAAATTATTTGGTAATAATAAATCATTTTAAAACTGAAAAATTGCTTTAAAGTATAAATTTATTTATTTATTATTTAATTAATTGATTAATAAATTTAAATTTAAACAATAGTTTAAACTGATTTATAAGAAAATTTATAAAATAAATTTTTATTCATTTAATATAATAATTTCTTATTTTAAATGAATTTTTTACATTTATAAAATATTGAATACAACAAAAGAATTAAAAATTCGAAACGTTTTAAAAGCTTTACGCATTTTATCACAGTCGAATAGTTTCATTTAATAATACGCATCTTTCAACATAAAGTCAAGATAAATCTATTATTTATCGTAAATAAAGCTAGTTAGGCAATGTTTTATTACTATTAAACATTTCATTTTTAAAAAGTTTAAGAAAAATTATTAAAAATTTATAGCTTATTTAGTAAATTCGGATCTAAGCAAACACTAAAGTGTTATCGGATTTATATAGTTATATATAATGAAAATGCATCAATAATATAAACCAAAACATATATATATATTTTTTTACTTTAAATTAATGATCGCTATCCAATCAACATGACCTTTACCTTGTCATTCATTTAAAATGATTATCTTATATTGTATATAATAATGTAATACAAACAACGCATTGAACAGCGTAATAATGATTTAATATGAATTAAAACACTTTTAAATTAGAAATTATTGCTTCGAGTTGGCTTTATTATCTTATTTTACTGTATTAAAACATTTTTATATTTATTATATGCATTGAAAATATGCTTAGATATTGATGCAATCTTGATGGATATAATTTTGTTTATTTGGAGAATTTAAACAAGAAAAAGTAGCGCAAAAGTATAGTTTTTATATATTTTAAAATACTTTTTTTAAGTTTATAAACATAAGTTTATTTTTGTGCACTATCTATTTTCAAATATAGTAGAAAGCGTACAAGTGAAAATGTTCCATATCATGTTATAAAAGATATAAATTTACGTTATCATATTGCTAAAAACATAAATAAATAAATAATTTACGAAATACATTGTAGAGATGTTGAAACAATGTCCTAATTGAAAGCAGTATAAGTAATCTTTTGATTATTTGTTTCCTTAATCAATGTTAGATAATTAAAATGCATACGTTTTTTAAATAAAGTTTATTTTTAATTTTAAACTATGTCCTGCTAAATTAAATTAATAGATAAATTAGCTAAATGATAGTTTTCTTATAAATAGAATGAATTTTTTTTGCAAATGCAAAAAATTGTCTCATTATATGTAATAACTTATCTGGAAATTCATGTAAAAAGTAAATAAATCATACCTAAGTTAGGAGTAATTAGACTATGTGCTAGTTTATAACAATTATTACGTTACTTTATAGAGTTGTTAAAGAATTAATTAGTGTCTAAAATTATTCTGGTAAATTTTAATGAAATAAAACATAATTTTTTACTCTTAAAATATTGGCTTGAAATGGTAAAAATTTTTATATAAATTAAATTCTCAATTTTATTCTTATTTTATTATTTTAATTCAAAAAAATAAACGTAAAGAAACTTTTTAAATCGAAAGAAATTAAAGAACTTTAATTTCTTTAGATAGGGGACACGAATTCTTGCTAATCTAATACAAAAGAACACAATTGAAATAATAAAATTGATAAAATAAAGTTAGTCGTGCGTGAGAAGACAAAGGTAATGGTGTTGTAAGACGAAAGTCATTTTATATTATTTCTTAATAAATTTGTTTTATTAGATATAGTTTATCTCAAATAATACTGATTTATCGCTAAAAATTATTCAGTTTTTATTTTTATTTTTTAAATCAATAAAATTTTTACACAAATACTAAAAAAAACAATTACGTTTTATCAAATGACTATAGAAAATAAATACGTGCAAGTTGTGTAAATTGATATTATTTTTCAATTATTAATCTCGATAATTGTAATCAGCTAAATATATTTCTATATCATCTAATCAATGTATATGTCGAGAGTGTATCTTTGCCTTTGTTCTATGAGCAATCACGTGATTATCAGTGATTTCAAAAATTTAGATTAAGCACATTTACGACTTTTTACCTTAATGGCTGCTTTGGTGAAGGATGAAACTGGATGGTTATGGAAGCCATGTAGTAGAAAAGCTGCTATTATTTTACCAATTATTATTTTACTTGTTGCTTTAGGAGTTCATAGAATCAAGAATTATAAATATGGAACAATTCAATCGAAAACTATCGAATTAGGTAAAATTATTATAAATCTTTAAGATTATTTAAGTTAATACTAAGAATGAATTAACAATTTCGTAATTAAGTTTATGTAATTAAAGGTTAATGTTATTGTTTATTATTTGAATTAACTTAGTAATAATCTAGTAACATAATTACCTTTGTGTATTCCTATTGTTTAAACTATATTTAAAGAGAAATTTGTTAAATTAAAGTCTGCAATTATTTTCACTATGATTGTTAAATGACTTTTATTTAAGATTATATTTAACAAATAAATAAATTAAGCTAATTACACGCAGCAAAACATAAAGGTAAACAGTAAATAAAGATTTAAAGAATAAACTGAATTCGCTTAGACACATAATCAGATAATTTATCATATAAAATATTTCCATTTTCTAATTGACAATTTATCATATGCCCACACGAAAAATGGATAAAGATAAAAATTATCGTTGATTAATCAGATTAAATTTATATCAAAACAACAGTTGTATTTTTCAATAATATATTTTTTAAAATATATTTCTGAGTAACTGCAATGTTTTTAAAAAAATTACAGATAAAAGTATAATTCCTGATTGCATTCCTCCATCAATAAATGAATTTCCAAGAGACATATTTACTCAGGAAGAGCGTCAAAATGGATGGATTGTCGTACATTTTTTTATTATGGCCTATTTATGTGCCACATTGGCAATTGTATGCGATCAATATTTTGTACCTTCGCTAGAAAAGATATCCGAATGTAAGTATAAATTCTAATGATTCCAGATTATTATAAAATATAAACAAATTTATAAATATTTAAATTAATGCTTTAAAATTTTATTACGGCATCCAAATTTATATATTATTTTTTATT